ATATTTATTTGTGAGCAAATATATATCTTTATTAAAAAGTTCCAATATATGCATTTGAAATAAATATAAAAAGAAGCATTCTGTTACCTTGAAATCCCCTCTAATATTCTTTACACCATTCAGAGACCATGCACAGATATACTAGAACATTGTTTGACAAACTAGATCATTAATTCAGAGTCTTCAAGATTACCACATCTGAAATTTTCCATTTCCAACTTAAAATACTGCTGTAAACAGCAGTGGCTCTGACCATGCTCATGTTTCCATACAAATTCTCCTTCGGAACCACTTTCACTTCACCACCCGATTTGTCATTATTCCTTTCTTGAGTTTATATCTGGTTTTTACTTTTTTAAAAAGGCAGCTTGAATTTTAAAAGTTCAATAAAAATGAGTAACTCAAAACATACTTCTGTCACCATGAAATTTCTTGCATGTTTTTACTGCAACAAAAATATTCTCCTTCTTCACAGGCTCTCCCTAAAAAACAAGAAAAATATATGCACAATTATGAGTCAGCCTCATCTTAACTTCACACCCACGTTAGATCTCACATGCTGTAGGGTTCAAATTAACCCATGTCAGGGATATCAAACCTATTTCCAGGATGAAGTTTTAGCGAAGACAAGGAACCGCAGTTCAGCTGATAATACAGCCTTTGAAGTCAACAGGCCCCGGACCTCCCTTCCAGCTCTGCCGTGCAGGAAGCATCGCCTCAACAAGTTTCTTAAGCTCACAGAACCTCAGTCTACTCACTTAGAAGGGAATAGTTACCACCAAAAAGGCTGTTAATAACTACTATAAATTTATTAAGCACATAGTAGGTGACCAATAAACATACGTTATCTCACTTTATTTTCTTCAACTGTGAAGATTTTGACAAAAAGAAAGAGTATGGGTGTCTTTTAGTGTAAATTAACAGATGACTCCCTTTTCTGGGCCCAGCCTTACTTTAATGCTGAAAGTATTTTTATGGCCCCTTTACTGGTTACCCAACTACAGGCTAAGGATGCTCTATCCTTCACTAACAGTAGAATTACATCCAACGCTGGGGGGATGGGGTGGGGGCTTCCTGGAGCAGGCTGATCACACCGATGAAAGGGGCACACAGATGGACAATACAACCCAAGGCCTTCACAGAGGCAGGAGGAAGTATCCTGATCTCTTTATTGCCTGTCTCAGGCCTGTAATAATATTCAATAACAACCCCTACGTCATTTGGGGCTGGTCTGTATGTGTAGTGACACTGATCTACAGCTTTGTCACGCAGCTCAAGGCCCAGGAGACACAGTAAAGGGGAAGCAAGCACTGCATGTAGAAAGATAATTTCTCAACTCAGGAGCTACACATATATTATAGATTCTCCCCCACTGTTATGCTGTATTGTCTTTTAAAATGGCACACACAAGCTTCTGTTTGACTAACTTGAGAATAACAAACAATTGAGGCTGATGAACATATTTTCCTTTACAAAAAATTAACACCCTAGTGAGTTTCAGTGTCTTCAGACTCATCATGGGACTGGACCAAGGGTCCAAACATGACAAGTCCGTCCATCCTGAAAGTTCTCCAGAGATGGTCACAGGTGAGATCAAAGGTAGGGTCACCTGCTGAGAGGGTAAAAGCAGTGAGCTTGTGGAGAATGCTTGAGTGTCACCGAAAATGTCTGAAATTGCCTTTCCAGGAAGTGGAACAGAAATTCAATCAATACATCCTATATCATCACCTAAAGAAGTGACTCTGGGCACAATTATTCTGAAGAGCTGTATAGTGACAGGGAAGCCCTTAGAACCCTCACTTCCCTTCCTACCAGCCCTGCAGGCTTGAGTAAGTACTAAACTGCTCTGTGCCTCTCTTCTCATGTGTCAGATGACATAACAACATCACTTACCTTGTAGTGTTATTACTAGAGATAGGAGAGATGGTTCTTTGGGTACAGGGCAAATATTGATTTTATTATGCACAGCATATAAATGTCCCTTTGACATGCAAAGAAGTTTTTTCTTCTATTACTTACACAAAGTGGTAGAAAAGAACGGAATGTGGTAGCACAGGAGGAGTCCACACCATCTGTGCAAAACTCAGGCACTGGGGTGAGGGGAGGTCCACCACCTTTGTCCCATACATAGAGGGCAATCTGTCCAAGACAGGAGACCGACAATGAGGAAGGAACTCAGCCAATACCACAAGCATAAGATGGGCCAGAATATCTCAAGGGAAAGCAGAATGAGCCTTCTACAGAGAATGTTAAGTCAAACCATACTGATTTCTCAATATTCGGCAGGATATTTTTTACATAAAAACTGGCAAGTCCATGTTGATCAATCTAATCTTTTATTAACAACTAGGAATCAATATTCTGACCTCCAAAAACTCTGAACATCATCAATAAGCAGTTTTAGGGAAGAGCACCCTGTGAAACATCAGAGAGAGAGATGTAAGAGGATCCTACCACAGATGCCTCTGGTTCCCTACAGTACAGTAAATGCATACTCTGAATAGTCAGCTTGTTGAAAACAACTGAAAATGTTAGATAAAATGTCTTCAAAATCATTTTAAATGTATTGCTAAACTGGCACAAAAGTGTAGAACTCGTGAGGACAGAAATGTGAAAGTGAGAACCTGGGATAAAGGGGACCTAGGGTAGTTTTCCCCACGAGGCCTCAGCTGACCTCTGCTAATGCTGAGTTTCTGTAAGGAATGATGAGAGTGAAGCCTATGCCCTCCTCAAGTGGGGCGGAGCCAACAGCAAATTCCCACTGAAAGCTGGGACCTTGGAGCTAAATGGAGGGGGAAAATAATCTCTAAACCTCCCCTGAGATTTGGTAACCAAAAGCCAGGCCTCTCTAATATATGCCACCTATGAGGTCCAAAACACCTCAGAGTAATTTCAAGTTCTTCCAAATCAGTATAACCCACTAACTGCAGGCAGAAGCTGATATATATACATCCTTACTGAGAAACCCACAACTTTAATTCAGGATTTTTCCAAAAAAAACAGAGGAAAAAAATCACAAAAAGCACAAAGAAATGAGAGGATGAGCAAGAGTCTGCAGATAGAATTTAATCAGACAGACCCACAGGACTTCAGATATTAGAATTGTCTATCACCCACATAAATTTATTATGTTTAATATATTTTATAAAGAAAAATTTTAAAACACGAAAAAGTTATCTTTAAAAATGTTACACAAATATATTAATACAAAATTATAGGATAGATAGCATATTAGACACAGTTGGATAAAAAATTAAGGAACTAAAGAATGAAGTCCCTAAAATTATCTAAAAGATAGAACAACAACAAGTAGAGAAGGGGCTTAGGGTCCGTAACATGGTGGTTACAGCGCCAGCACATACACTGAGGGTAGTGGGTTTGAACACGGCCCATGCCAGCTAAAGCAATTGCAACAAAAAAAAGCCAGGTGTCGTGGCAGGCACCTGTAGTCCCAGCTACTTGGGAGACTGAGGCAAGAGAATTACTTGAGCCCAAGAGTTTGAGGTTGCTGTGAGCTGTAACACCACGGCATTCTACCAAGGGAGACACAGTGAGACTTTGTCTCAAAAAAAAGAAGAAGTAGAGAAGGAAAATGTAAAAGAGACATTTATACCTGGTAGCATATATCTAATGTTCCAGGAAGAGGCAACAGAGAGAAGAAGGATGAGAATATAGTTGAAAAGATAAAGGCTGAGTACTTTCAAATACTGCTTAATAATCCTATTATAGAAGGGCCCAATGAATCCTAAGCAGGATTAGAAAAAGCAGTCTACATCAAGATGTATCTTAGTTAAATGCAAAATACTATAGACAAAGAATCTTAAAAGCAGGCAGGAAAAAAATGACATATTACCTACAAAAGAACCACACTAGACTGATGGGGACTGATTTCTCAGAACCATAGTAACAGAAGCCAGAACACAGTGAAATCACACCATTGTAACAAGAGAGAACGACTGATGATCTAGAATGGCTTACGTGATGTAACTATGCTTCAAGAATAAGCTGAAGTAAGTAAAGTGTATTTGGAAAGAAAAGGCTGAGAGAAGCCACCCCCTCACTGAATGAAATTCGAAAGGATATACTTCAGGAAGAATACGAATGATCCCTGGAAGACTGAAGCAGCAAGATGGAATGGTTAAGAAAACACTGGCAAATTTATGATGAAGTTAATACAAATGTTAACTTCATAATGTAATGATAATACCTGTTTTAGGGTAAAATTTCAGTATCAAAAATACTGGACGACAATAGCATATAAATTGGGGGTAGATAATCAGAGCTGAATTATTCTAAAGACCTTGAATTTTCTGCATACTGATCAATTAGCCCAGGTTAGATCAAGAATGCATATTAAGGGATATACCCAGATGACCAAAAATCACAACAAAGATATGTGTATCAGAATGTTTAATTCAGCCCAATTCATAATTGCCAGGTCATGGAAGAAGCCCAAGTGTTCATCAATCCACAAATGGATCAATAAACTGTGGTATATATACACCATGGAATACTATGCAGCCATAAAGAAAGATGGAGACTTTACATCCTTCATGTTTACATGGATGGAGCTGGAAAATGTTCCTCTTAGCAAAGTATCACAAGAATAGAAGAAGAAATATACAATGTACATAGCCCTATTATGAAACAAATTTATAGCTTTCATATGAAAGCTATAACCTAATTATAGCCTAAGAATATGGGGAGGGGAGTGGGGGAGGACAGGGGAGATGGGTGGATGGGTAGAGGGAGGATGATTGGAAGGATCACCTCTATGGTTTGTCTTACAAGGGTACAAGTGAATCTTTCTAAAAGTAGAGTATAAATGTCTTAACACAATAACTAAGAAAACCGACATAAACCAGTCAATTAACCAGTTTGATGAAAATATTTCAAATTGTATATGAAAATACCACACTGTATCCAATGATTGCATTAATGTACACAGCTGTCATTTAATTAAAAAAAATGCATATTAAAATATTTAAAATAAGCAATAAAGTACAGATGTAGAGAAAGAATTTCCAAAACAATAAAAGAGGAAAATACAAATTAAAAAATTTTTTAAAAACTTAAAAGATGACATAAAAGTTTTAAAAAGAAAAATACAAAATGGGGGATAAGAATAAAATAAAGTAATAGATATGAATTCAAATACATTAACAATTACAATCAACATAAAGTAAATTTGTTATCTGACTTAAAGGCAAAAATTATCAAACTGGGACACAAAAAAGGCATGTCTTCCTTAAAAGAGACATAACTAAAAGATAAGGACACGAAAGGGCTGGAAGAAAAAGATGAAATATGATTATGAGGCAAACCTCAAAAGAAAGCCAATGTAGAAATATTCCTGTCAATGAAGTAAACATGAAGACACAGAGTATTGTTAGAGATAAAGATAAATTCACGAAGAAGATGTAATAATCCCAAACTTTTATGCACCTAATTAACATAGCCTCAGAGTATAAAAAACAAGAATTGTTACTTCCATAGGAGAAATGCTCAAATCCACCATAATTAAGGAAAATTTCCACATTCCTCCCTTAGTAACTGATAAGCAGAAAAACAAAAGCAGATAGAGGAAGAAAGAAAGGAAATAAAATATCTGGAAAGCATAATTAATACCTTCTTTAATCTAACAGAGAGTATTATATCACCTAAGTTAGAGAATATACATGCTTTTTCCAGTAATAAAAACTGAACATGAACTAGGCCATAAAGTAAGCCTAAGAGTGTTTCTAATGACTGATACATAGACTGTCGCTAAATTAGAAGTCAATAATTAAAAACACAATAACAACACACATAAACATATTGGATCTCAATGAAAAATGTATTTTTTTAAAGTGGGTCACAGTCAAAAAAAGCTTCACAGCCTCTGCCTTGGAGAAACTGTTACAGATGAGCATCGTGACACACGTCAAAAATATTCACAGAAGCAATGATCTCAGTAGCAAAAAGACAGCAACCACCCAGAAGCCCACTATATATTTCTCATATATGTTAGAAATAGTCTTCTGTATGTTTTCAATGTTTAATGAATTCCCCCACCAGGGTTTCTATACCAGCTCTGACTTTTCGTTAACCTATCTAGACAGACCCTGATTTTCAACAAGTCTTATTTTCCTCTTTGTACAAAATGATTTTTTTTAAAGTGTATTTCTTCTCAGATAAGCTGTTTCATCACTAAAGATACCCTTTCTAGGGTTAGAAAGTTTCGTGTGTGCCTTTCTTGCTCCTAGGAGGCTGCCAGCATTGCTGGGCTGGATTACATGTCAAGATTTACCGCAATGTCAAGAGATAGAGATTCCAGCAGAGAGTGAGAGGAAGTTTATTTCAGGCAGTTAGACATGCCCATAATAAATGAAATGCAAAAAGAAGCCTCCCTAATGATGATTTGGGAATGATTAATGATGGGATACCTGCCACCTGCCTCCAAGATAAAATTGGTCACAGATGTCTATTAAATGCCAAAGAACCAGGGGAGCCAAGCCCAGGCCGGCACATCACCGCTGCCTGCTTGGGACCAACTGGCTTAATTCTGTAGTGGAGAACCAGGCACAGACATGTGACAAAAGCATATGTCCTAGTCTGCTTGGGATGCTGTAACAAAATATCATAGATGGAGTGGCATATAAATAACAGAAGTTTATTTCTCACAGTTCTGGAGTGTGGCAGTCCAAAATTAAGGTGCTGGCTGATTCAGTGTCTGGAGAGGGCCTCTTTCCGGTACAGGGATGGGGCCTTCTTGCTGTGTCCTCATAAGGTGGGGATTACAAGGATCTCATCCTTTCATGAGACTGTTACCCTCATGACCTAATCACCTCCCAAAGGCCTAGCTCCAAATATCAGTTCCTTGGAGATTACATTTCAGCGTATGAATTGGTATGGGGGGACAAGTTCAGTCTATAGCAGCATTTGTATACTCAAAGCACCAAATAAGAGCAGAGGAAATTTTAATGACATTTTTGCAGGTTTTTTAGAAATCCACCTCTCGATCCATCCATCTGGCTTCAAAACAAAGAATCATGAATCATTAGATGCAACCTTTTTCACTGCTCTCTCTTCATCTACATAACTAAAATGAGTTTAAAATAGAAAGACTTAATTCACTGGAGGCTGTAAAATTACCTCAGTGGGGCACAGCTGGGTGTGGGTGGGGAAACCGCGCTGTTAGGCAATCCAAAACACTTCTTCTATCCAACGACAAGAACGCTTGATTATTAAGAGTTTTAACCAAACAAAACATAACATACCTCATGTTTTAAATCTATTGTAAAGTCGGATTTCAGAGATTCACTCTTTAATCTCTTGGTAAGCCTAGAAAATAGAGACAATTTGATTTTTTTTTTTAACCAGAAAGTGTCAAACAAGAATAACACATTCTTGAGATTTTCTAATGTTTAAAAATAGATAAACATACAAATTTAAAAACAAAAAATAAGAACTTAACTTCCTTCAGGGAAAGAAACTGTGAAAAATCAATGGTTCTGTTGACCAATAAATGAAGACAAGACTTGCTACAAAATACAGCATTCATTACTTTAGCATCTGCCAAACTATGTAAAACGTGACACAAGGAATAAGGTGCCTTGAAAAAACACCATGGTGTTTGTTGACTCTTTCTATTAAATAATGACAGAGAAAGAAAAAGAAAAGGAGAAAAAAAGCATGTGCTTCAAAGAAAACAAACATGGTTAAACTTTCTGTCTTCTACTATCATGAATGACAGATCCAGGTTTTTTTATGGAGACAAATGTGTGGTTTCAGGGAAGAATAGCAGTTTTATTTTAAGTCATTTTCTTGTATAGAAAATCTTCAATGGCTCCTCTGCCATAGAGAATAAAGCCTGAAACTCCTAAGCCAGACTGGAGGGCCCCACTTTCTCCCCCAGCCTGTGATACTCACGTCTCCACCCCGAGCACACCTCCCCACTGCTCCTGCCCCATACATCTTCCCAGTGTGTCCACACTCAACCTTTACTTAGCAAACTTTTCTTTTTCAAGACCAAACTCAAGGGTACCTTCTGTGTGAAACATTCCAGACTTGCCCACTAGAGTAAATGGAAACTTCCTTTGCTCCCAGACTACAAAGCACAGCCCTAGCAGCTGTGAAGTGAGCTGTGCACACACCCCTCTCTGTGTTGTACTTTGTCTTGCCAGCATTACCCCCTCCCCCAACCTGGCCAAAATGAGTGCTCAGTGAGCCCCTAAATCAACCAGGACAATATAGTCTTTGATTCCAAGCTGACTGAGATAGAACTGCATTCCTAGATCACTTAAATACCATCTGGCCCTATGTTTGTTTATGGAGCTGAAGACTAGAACACCAGTTTCAACCATAAACCTCCTAATGCTTAGTTTGCAAAGAAATAATAGTAGTTTTTTTAAAAGGAAGATTAGTAATAAGTTTCAAAAATTTTTATTGAGACTTTAATTACATGTTAGTCTGGTTGGGCCATGAAATATTTCTTTAAAAATTCATTTCTGCTTAGAGGAAAAAATAAAGACCGTGGGCAGCTCCTGGTTGATGCTAATATAAGAGTGGGACCAAAAGCAGTCCCTTCTACTATCTGTCACATTCCTGTTCGGTGTCTGCCTACAGATCCGTGAGTATGCGGGCCAGACTTAGAGAGACCAAATCCTTAGACACGTTCTCCACAACATTAAAAGGAAAAAATCCTCTCTGGCAAGTGAGATCTTGTCCAATTTGAATTCTGCTCAGTGGGAGCCAGTTTTTATAAATAAACTGCATCAAGGTAACTTTGGAATTGGGACTAATGCCTCAGGCCTTCAAATTCTGATCAGACTACAAAGAGTATGAATTCATATGTCATTCAGACCCCAAAGACAGGAAAAGTCATACCCACAGGCAAGGGTCAGGAGTTGTGATCCAAATCTAAGTGGCATGTGACACCCACTGTCAGATGGCCATGTTTCTTATGCTTCTTCTTAACAGACAATAAACACCTTAGAATCTACCTGAAACATGCCCTTCATTTTTTGACATTTCTAGTTTCTTTCTCAACCAATTCTTGAAAGTTTTTCCTTGAGGGAGATCTCAGAGGGAGAAAATGTGAAAACCAGTGCCTAGAATTTCTTTAAGACAAACAATGACTGATTAGAGGACAAATAAAATACATACACTGACAGTTTTAAGTGGCCTTCTCTCTTGGAGACCACAGAATGTACAAAAGCCAAGTCATGGTCATCTTCACATCACAAATTTCTTCTTGAGGAGTTAGCCTTAGGACGCCCTAAGGCTTAAATCAGTCACCTTGCAAAGGCATTCTACTTGTAAGAGCATGCAGGGTGATGAATTAACTCAAAAGCAATGAGGGCCGGGCTCACCCCTGCAGTCCTAGCACTGTGCAACGACTGGGCCGATGAACTGCTTGAGCTCAGGAGTTCAACATCAGCCTGGACAAGAGTGAGACTCTGTCTCTACTAAAAATAGAAAAACTAGCCGAGAGTTGTGGTGAGTGCCTACAGTTCCAACTACTCGGGAGGGTGAGGCAAGAGGATTGCTCAAGCCCAAGAGTTGAAGGCTGCAGTCGCTGTGAGCTATGATAATGCACGGCACTCTACCCCAGGTGACAAAGTGAGAGTCTATCTGAAAAAAAAAAAAAGAAAAACAAAACAAAATAAAAAAAGGATTGCTAATAGTAGTAAGTACAGTTTTTCTATACACCAAACAAGACAGTACAAAGGTTTTCTAATGCTCATTTCAAAACCAACAATGCAAAGGCCAGAAATTCCAGTTACTGAGAACAAAATGTTCCCTTATTAAATATTCAGTTCCTGGCAAATATGACATTTGGTACTCAACTTTCCAAGGGCACAGTTATGATGACACAATCAGCTAGGTTGCAGATGTGCAAAAACACTGAGGGAGCCTTTAATTCAGTAACAAGCAAACTTCCCAGCTGACTTTGCAGGCCCACTTGTGAATCAATCAACAGAGCAAGATATTAAAGGAAATCTCATTCATAAGGTTTGTTGGTGAGAAAGCAATGGAGAAAACCACTTACAGCATTCCAGAAGAACACATATTTGAAGAAACTGTTACTGGGTATTAGTGAAAGTTTCTCCAAAGATGCAAGTATTTTTTTATTGATCACCAGGATATGTTGGACTCTGTGAATTTAAAACTCACCAATGGGGATTACAAGGCCAAACATTTTTGATGGGAAGTAGTCTTAAAAAGCACATGGCACAAAATGTCTTTAAGTAACCAGTTGTCCTGAAGACTTGGGGAGATTTGTTGCCCTAATTACAACAAATAAAGTCAAGGAAAGGAGACTAAGGTAATCAATGTTCCTATAACAGGCAGTGTCAGTTTCCTAGACAATTCAGAGTCTCCCCTGCTTTTTCCCTACACACACTCTGATTTTGATTAATGATTGAGCCCAGCATTTAAATGGGCTCCAGAATCAGAACCTGACTAGTCTGGAGTCTGGAGTAAGCAAAGCACTGAAATTCCCTACCAACTATTAATTGTTCTGGGTGCTGGCACGTGCACACAGTTGGCCCAACCAGACGGAGGATAAATGTTTACCTTGCATGGTGCAGGACAGGCTCTCCATTGTTGGATTTGAATAGGACACATGTAGCCTTTATTGTCTTGAAATAATAAGAGGACTACAGGCAGAAGAGAACCTGGGTCCTCAATAATCCTGCTGAATTCCTGTATCAAACAACTGCAGCCTCACTTCCACGATAACAAGAATATTTCCTTAATCCAGTTTGAATTGCTTCCTATTACTTGCGCTCAAAAGCATCCTAACTGACATAGTTCTTAACAATAGGCAAAAATAAAGTCAGCACATTAGCTGTGGAATTGGGAAAAACCAACTGGGAAGTTCCAGTTTTGCAGTTGATAAGGCAAATGGATACTTTATGCTTTTTTTGGTTCTAAGTATAAGACCAGTGTCTTCAAAAATAAATAAGAATCTCCTATTAGGAAACCATTTTAAAATATATCTTAGCCACAAGATTGTTGCTGTGCAAGATGGGTTATGTCATTTTATTTGCTTGATTATTTGTCTGTATCAGGAGAAAAAGGAAATATGGTCTAAGATAACCAGAATTTTTTTATTTCATGCTATTGGTAGAGTTTATTTTTTTGTTTTGTTTTTGCTGGTAGGAGAAAAGGAGGGGAGGTGGGAAGAAGACTATGGATATTAATTAATGACAAGCACTCTGCAGTTTGTAGGAAGAGCAGGTGACACAGAATATGGAATCTGGTGCCTTATTCCTCTACCATGATGAAGTTACGGAGGAAGTGCTAGGAATTTCTTAAACTTTGTGCAAAAGATTAGTCTCTGGGCTTTAATTCCTGTAGCCACAGTTTCCTATATGCTACGATCTAAATTATCTGTGTCCCCTCAAAATTCATGTTGAAATCCTAACCCCTAAGGTGATGGTATGAAAGGAGGCAGGGCCTTTGAGAGGTCATAGGGGGATTAGTGCCCCTATGAAAGAGGCCCCAGACAGACACTTTAGCCCTTCCAACCTATGCGGACACAGCGAGAAGGCGCCATCTATGACAGACAGCGGGGGTCTCACCAGACACTGGATCTGCCAGCACCTTATATCGAACTTTCAGCCTCCAGAGCTGTAAGAAATGAACTTCTGTCATTTATAAATCCCATATAAGTTACCATGTCTGTGGTATTTTGTTGTAGCAGCCCAAACAGACTGAGATGCCTATACACCCTGCTACAGTGATGAGGCCCTTAGTTCTCTCTCCTTTCACAATAGAAAATATTGTTGAGGGATCTAAGACACCACTCCCCCCCCCAACGGAAGCTGGGCACCTTTGCCAAAAGATACATGTTCGGTGACCTCATAAAAACACAACAAGGAAGAGAATCATAGGCCAGTGGTCTCTGAGGGGACCACCTTGCAGACTGCCATGTAACCTATAACAAAGTCTCCCTTTAATAAGGTTAACATACTAGTTAGTGCATAACCCTGCAACCCTGGTTCATAAGGACCTCAGCTAGTCACACACTGAGCATGAGATAGTTAATGGGTTCAAGAGAAGGTATCTCTGTGCCTAGGAGAAGTGGGGCCCAAGGGCAGAGTCCATAGACTCAAGAGGTTATAGAACAGGTTAGCCTCTATCAGCACGTCAAGCAAAAAGAGTTTGGTTGGCCTCACATCTTACATGAGGGTATCAGGAGACAAAGGAGATCACTTCCATCCCCCTGGTTAAAAACATACATATGTGAAAAAGGGAAGCAAGAACAGTTACTGCTAATGCCTAACTCAATACAAACCAAACTGAGGTCCCCAAGAAGGCCTGTGCTAGAGGAAGATGCAGAAATTATCATGGGAAGAAGACGAAACTCTTTAGACCAACAGCATTTGCCTTCAGGATGAGGGGCCTCCTGAAGCAGAGGGAAGGAATGGGAAACAGAGCTCTACTGGCTCAGGGAGATGGTTCTGTCTCCAGGCTTGCTGTGCAGGGTCTTCCTGCGTCCAGTGTGTGGGTCCTCTTGGCCCCAGGGAAGGAAGCAGTGGCCCTCACGGCATTCGCAGGGCAGTTATAGCTGTGCTTGGTCCTCTCTCAAGGGGCTTAGTGGGATGACAGTGGACTAGAGAGAAACAGGCTTATGAAGAGCTTATACCCCCATGTCAGAGTGATGACAGCCACAGACTTGTCCCATGGAAAAGTCAGAACAAAACCATTCCATGCTATGACACAAAGTAGAGAGAAAGTGAGGAAGGGCTGGAGAAAGCCTTTTGGGGCCTAATCACCTCCCAAAGGCCATGCCTCCTCTAATACCATCACCTTGGGGGTTAGGACTTCAATATAAATTTTAGGGGGCACAGATATTTCTGAAGGGACATGAACAACACCTCAGCCCAGGAGGTACAGCTGAGAGCTTCTGTTCACTAAGAGTCCAGACTAAACAAAGGGAGCTGAACTGGCCCCAAACACAAAGTATAAAAGAAAACAGCATACTGATATTCCTGCTCTTTAAGCTGCAGCAAGCCATTGAACTTGAGAATAAATATGACCTTGGGCAGTTCCCCTTACAGAGAACAGCACCAGGAACCAGTGGAGGGGGAGAAGGGAATGATGACTACCTCTTCTTGTCTTCCCACCCCTTCCTCCCCGACTCTTCTAGCATGGAGGGGAGAACGGTATAGAGCCCCTTAGCCATACTTGACACAAGCTAGGGAGGGCCACGCTAGCCCAGCAGGCCCAAAACTGGGTATATAAACCAAGGCTCTTAGATGGACACAAAAGAATTTACTTTGGTTAAAACACAAAGTACATTTATTAAAACATATAGATGGCTCACAGAATCACTGGAAAGTCTGGGTAAAGAGATTCTAAGCTGAGATTTCAAGAACAATCCCCAGGTTTGCAGCACAGAAGTAAGCAGCCTGAGAGCTTCAGACTCTGCCCACCACTAGGAAACTGCTACATCTGGATGCCAGTCTCAGCTGCCAAGCCCCCAGTGACCCTTCCTCTGCTGCGACTACTCATGACAAATGTTCTCCTATGCTTCCGTTTTTTTCCCACACAGTTCCCAAAAAGAAGTTTACAGAGAGTATCTACAATAGAACCTACGGCATATAACTACTCCCTAGCAGCAATGAAGGCCAGAAAATACAGGAGGTTTTGTCGTCATCATTGCTGTTCAGATTCTATGATACAAAGGAGGGTAAAAGGAGGGTATTACACTGTAGGGAACGAAATTTCAAACCTGAAGGGAATAGCTAAGAAGTTCTGGCCAGCCATGTGATAAGGTATGTAGTACTCCTATATACACACATACATATAGAGAGAATATGTATATGTGTGTGTATATATATATATATCGGCCTAAAATGTTTTTCAAGGCCTCAAACCCTAGAAACAGAATACTTAATGATAGAAACCCTTTATCTCTAAAGACATAAAAGCCACAAGTGCTTTCTAGACTTTCCCAGAGAACAAAAACAATTTATCTTAAGTGTTCAGACTAAGAAAGGGCCTGACAACAACCACACTTTTTCTGAATCACAACTTAATCCTCTTCACTCTCCACATATTATAGTGCAGGATCATGATCATACACACAAACAGCTGGGTATTATAACCTCCGTGCTGTCCGCCACCTGTCTCTTCTGCCCAGCCTATGTTTGAGGACACACACTCATGCACATACTCAGCCACCCACTCCCACCTCCAGCATGGTAATGATTTGTTTTCTCACTGGAGATCAGACTTAAACCTATGGCTAACCAGGTCCTTTAACAATGGTAATGACACTTCCACGTGCATAGTTCTTAGAACACATATGTGCTCTCCCTTAGTCTCAAAACTTATTATTTGCTTTATTTTGCAGGTGAGTTAGAAGAACCACAGAGAGGTCAAATGATCTGCCTGAGGTGTCTAGTAAGTGACAGGACTGAGGCAAGAACCCTCAGACATGTGGCTCCCCAGCCAGGTCTTTCTAGCCCACCACACACTGCTTCTGGCTAAAAAATTATTTCAGATCCTGAGAGCCATCAGTTATGATATTTAGTGAAATAAAGGTTGATCCACGTTCTCCCCACACACACACAAAAAAAGTCTAATAAATTCTTACTTGTTTATAAGTGGAAAACTAAGGGCCCAGCCAGCAGCAAAGTCTGGATATTTAAAAATTGTAGGATTTTCAGAAAAGGCATAATGGTGAATTATTGTAGACTCTTCATCATGTAATGCTTTTCCTAAAAACCATTCCTGTTAAATAAAAATATAAAACGTCACATTTTAAAAGAAGCCATTTCATGTAAAGACCAAAACCAAAATCATACAAGTAATTTTAGCTAAATATTTTATTTTAGGTGATAGAGCATTATTAGCACAGATTACATATTTCTACAGAATTTGAAAAGAATATTTAACACTAGCATGATAATGAATATACTATAATTTTTGTACATAAATAGTCCAAGATTGTATCATCAAGATGAACAAAATGTTAGTTATCATTATGTCACAAATGTATAAAAGTGGTGTTTTACAGAATATTCCATATAAAAAGATTATTAATGCAAAAAATAATGGTCCCTTATATCCCACTGAGATTTTCAAAGAATGTGAAAAACTCCTTTCAGAATCAGTGCCTATTTTATTCATTTATTTGCTCATGCAAATGGTATTTATTGAGAATCTACCACATACCAGGAAGGCACACTAGAGTGGGAAGATGGAAATTAGGCAAACAAATAATGTACCTTCAGATAGGAACAGAAATGTGCTATGATGAAATTAAAACAGAGTGACCACGGGCTGCTGTGGAAAGCAGGAAATCTCTCATGATATAACAAATAAGCTGAGATGAAATTATACTGAAGCCGGTTATGTGAAAATCTAGGGAAGTGCAGTCAAAGCAGTTACCAATAATTCAAAGTCCCTGAGGTGGGAAGAAGTTTGATCCATTGGATGAAAAAAGAAACCCAGAATGGCTGGAGCCACTATGTGTAGGGAACAAGGCATGAAAGAGATAGACAGGCAGGAGACAGACCACGTGTGTGTCAAAGGAAAGGAGCATAAACTTTATTCTAAGCACAATGAAAGACTTTACTTCTGGCCAAAACAGAATCAGACTTACTTCTGCTGAGAACAAAGATACAGGGTGGAGAAATTATGTAAAGCAGAGGAACAAAGCCATCAGAAAACAACAAAAGCAGACAAGTTATAAAAAATTAAGATCCCAGAATTGGAAAGCCCATCCACATGAGCCCCATATTGGCTTCCTCTTTCCCTCAGGCATCTGCTGATTCTTGGAGCCGTGAATAGCAGGCACCCAGAGTAGCTGCTGGGGACTTCTGCAGTGTCACTGGACTAAGGAAACAGAGGCTAAGACTGGAGACTGCCAGGGAGGTAGAGATTTAAGGGAATCCCAGAGAAACAAGCCCAAGACTTGGCACACAACTTTCCCCTAATGACCAAGGCTGCACAAAAACCTAGATAAAAAGCGAGAACCAAGAAGAAAGCAGAAGTGGGGAGCAAAGCTGAGCAAAGCCCTCAGCAGTCTTGTGGTCCCAGAAGCCCAAGGCTGGAGGCTCAGGATCTGTCAAGATGAAAAGGCTCTGAGACTACCCCACTAAGATCTACAACTCAAAGAATATTAAATCCTCTTGTAGGAAGGTGCTATCATACACAGACTCCTTGGTTTTCCTACAAAATACTTGACATTTAATAAAAAATTACCAAGTAGGGCAAGAACAAAACCAGACCAAGAAGAAAAAATAAGAAAAAGAAAAAGATGCATAGATAAATCAGATTTTATAGTTATCAAACAAGACTTTTAAATAGTTATGATTAATATGCTTAAGAAAACAGATGATAGATGGAAAATTATACCAAACAATTAGAATTTATAAACAAGAGTCAAGTGGAAATCCTAAAACTGACTAATATAAGAACCAAAGTTAGAAATTCAAAAAGATATTAAAAATAATAGATTACAATGTAACCTAACCATTTATAACCTCATATTAACCTGAAATAATAAAAAAGAAGA